GAAACAAAGTGCGACCCGCATGGTCTTGACCTGGATGGGTCAGCGGGCGGGTCTGGGTTGTAGTGCAAAATTTGTGGGCCAGCCCGGAACCCGTAGTGGACGGGCTTTTTTTTCACGCAGGCCGTTACCGGGCTCATATGTTGGCAGGCCGACTCGACCCGGACCACCCGAATTGACACCTCAAAGTCTATGGCCCACTCTAATGCAAGTAGGGCCCATCTGATGATACAATACAGTATTTTATTGCAGTAAAGCTAGATGTATACATTTGGTTCACAATAAAGCTAGATGCATTTTATTGGTGCAAAAGCTTGCAATCTGATTGGGACTTGGGAGGTATAAATTCTTGCATGTGAAACCTAAAAGTAGTTAACACAACATTAAGAATATATGTTTGATTCTCAAGGTATAATATTCACAAGAATGAGATGATTTTGTTTTTGTCCTTTCCTTTTTTTCATTCAGATTCTGCCATTGATTATGAGGGTGAAGAATATGAAACCTTCAGCAAGTTCTGTCGGCTGATGAGTGTATTTGCACCACTTGACAATTTAAGATAGGGGAGGACAAAATGTTCAGACCAAACCAAGCGGTTCAGTTCGGTTCTATCAAAAAAATTAATGATTTTGATTCTTTGAATCAAGAACCATTTGGTTCTGGTTCGATTATAGTTCAAGAATCACAACCACAATCAGAACCAAACTTAATATTAAATTATATATATATTAATTGGTGGAGACTCTAATTTTATATTCATTGGAGATAGCCCATTAATTGAATACAGTTTATTAATCGATTTTAGGTCATTAGAGACAGACAACTCGTTAGTTGCTCACACCATAAATTTGTATTCAGTTGAATCATTTCTCTTTCACTCATTTTCAGTTTACACAACGTCGCAGCTTATTGGTACTGCATTTCATCAAGTTAGTGGAGTGTCGTTTAAGATCGAAAAATGAAATTGGTCAGCTACTTAAAAAGTCTTTAAACTATTTTTTATTTAATTGTTTGATGAGTTATTTGTGTTCTTCACAAATAGAGGAAAACCTAATAAACATTCATGAAGTATTAAAACGGTTAATGGTGCATATAAAAGTGGACTTTAAAATTTTTGATAATTCATTCTTTATGGGTGTGCCTTCAAAACTGCTGCAATTAATTTAGTGAATCATTGCAATTATTTATTAAACAATTTTTTGTATGAGAACGAAAACTAATTTGTGTATTCAAATTATGAATATGTTTTGTTTGTTAGTTATGATTTTTTTGATCTCGGTGATTGAAATTTGAACTTCTTGAATGTTTGATGTTTATTTTTTTTATTTAGGTATATATTACTAACTTATGCGATGCAAATATGAAAATTTAAGAAATGAAACTAGAACCAAACCAAACCAAATCAGAACCGAACGGTTCAGTTCGGTTTGAACGATTCAGTTCGTTTTGGTTCCATATTTTTTTTAAAAACCATTTTGTTCCATTATCAGAAAGACCATTGGCTCATGGTTCGGTTCAGTTCTCTTGAAACCAAAATCAAATAGAACCATGTCTACCCCTATTTTAAGATAATGCCTCTATAAGCCATTTCTTCAAGGTTTAATCTATGTGAGCCTTGCAAGATAGAATTGACTCTTAAGGCTATTGAAAAAAATTATCATTGTGCAAATTTTGGGGGATGACTAGGTTTTAAATTTTGAGTTGTCTTGTTTTGATTGAGACGAGTATATGCATTTATCTTCGATATTGATTAAATTTAGTGTTTCCACACTAAAATTATGTTCATAAATAATAAAACTCAAGGCATATCAACCAATTTTCCGAGTAACTTTAATAACGTAAAACACTTATTTTAAAGCTTATAAAGGAAGCCCCAAAAAAAAAAAAAAAATCCTTTTTGATGCTTGTAATCACTAAAAGCTTATGAATTGGTGAAGCTATAAGCAGAGGCTAAACAAACCCATTTATTTACCCAAAAAGGAGCTAATCGATCACAACCTGCCAGAAACTTATTTTCGAGTTAGAACTCTAAGAGGAGTCAACTCGTGTGAGAAACAACTTATAAAACCTATTGATTAAAATGTCAGTAAGAATACACTGAAAAGTATAGTTGAAGACGTCGAAAAAAAAATTAGAAGAAATAAAAATAAGTTCAACAACGGGAGAAAAAGAAACTAATAAAACTAACCCCACATGATCAGCAGCAGATGGTGTCTTTCCCTAATGTTCTAAAAGACAATCTAGCCTTCTTATCTGATCCAAACTGAAACTTAATATCAGAAGAATCAGGTTGTGAGGTACTGCTCGTAGACGGAAACGAGAAAACGAGACGAGTAGACTTATTTGTGCCAAAACTGTAAGAAGGCACAGCAGCAGGCACATCCTTTGGCTGAGACGGAGCACTTGTTGAAGATGAATGCACTATGGAAGGAGTTAGGGGCTCAGAGAGGAACCCTGAACTTGCAGAAATGGGGAAAATGAAGCCCAGGCCATTAACAGAAGAAACTGCATTGGGATTGGGCCTGCTGATGGAACTTGAAGGCAAAAATGGGTTGTCTCCATGAGAAAGGGTCGACTGATCCTTGGACGGCACAAGGCCAGTGGGATTGGTCGTCTCCTTCTGGCCATTGCTAGTTATGATGAAAGACTTCTGCAATAAAGACACTGTCAATACGATTTTCCACTACATAGCATTCAAGCATGTCAAAATCTTAATAAAGGTCATGTGCGATAAAGACATTGCAAAAAACAATAATCTGCACAGTAAAATTGACAACATTTATTTCTGGGAGCTGAACACATTTCTGAGCTTTTAACCATTGAAACTAAATGTTTTGCACTTTTGAAAAGCTATGAAGAGTCCGAGCAGAAATTACATTTTTCACTACTGCTTACTATCTAAATCATAACTAAATCCAAGTTAGAAAAGGGTCAATACATTCTTAAGCCAATTTAAGTAATTAGTCACAATTCCAAGACTGGAAGTTGGCTATAGACACAACCTTCCTGATTCAGATATTACTATATTATCATATATTTAGTTTGAAATAATGCAAAGATGAATCTGAGCCAAACTGCTATAGAAAGAGAAGCAAACATCGTTTAATGTTTATACCAATACTGTCTCAATTTTACACTTAAAACCTTCTTTTTAAGTGAGGAATGGCTATTCCAATCTATTCAAACTTGTGAAATGCCAAAACTATTTTAAACTAACTAGACAAAACAGAACAAGGTTGCTTAAGCTGCCTGATACCAATTAAATGTTGCTGCACAGATGACAAGAAAATTTATCCTAAATTAGCAAGAATACATACAGCAAATCAACAGTTAAAAGCTGGCTAATTTTGACCAAAAACTTCTGTATTACACTGCCAGATACGAGTTTATAATAATTCGGTGTCCAATAGCTTGAGATTTTTCAGGATATAATCGAGCAGTATCTTCTTTTAATGCAAATCCAGTTAAGAGCTCTTCCTGATTATGCCAAGCTTCTAATTTATATGCAATTAACTACTTATGGATTTCCAAAACCACCATGTCTTAATGGCTACCATAAATTTATGAGCTACCAAGTTTTCAAGCGTGCATGTCTACTTAACATTTAAACTGTTTTTTTCAATTAAAATCCCATGCTGAGTAGCGTGGGCATTACAGAAATTCAGAGGAGAAATATCCTCTATAAATTATTATATAACTTCGCTTCAAAATTCTAAACCTACCCATGACAAGCTCAATAATTGCTTCAAGATTACAACAAAAATCAATTCAGAGTCTCCAAAAAATAATCCAGGAAATATGACAACCTATTCCAGGGGAACTAGAAATCTAACCAAGATAAGTTTAAAGCCTCACACAAACTGCACAAAATCGGGTGCTGAGGAATCGTCATAAAGATTTGCTCGATCTTGATATTGAGGTTGCAGCATCAAGCCATCAACTGGGGTGAAAGTGTATAGTCGATAATCTTCAGAGCCTACGTTTCAGAACCACCACCACCATTTTGGGGATTAACAAGTTCACGTCAGGCTCACATGGTACCGAACAAGATTGATCAAACAGCATTTTAATTGCCCATGGCGCTATGAGTTTTGCTGCTTTAGTTAGGTGGCTGCAGGCATGAGGTGATACTTTCCTTAGCCAGTAAGCTATTATTTTAGTAGTGTTATTAATATTATTATGAAATCAAACTTTATAACAGTATCGTGACAAATTAACCACTAACGTGTTAATTAAGCTACACATTGACATAAATAGAGCAAAACTAACATCCATTAAGAATTTAAGATCAAACAGTAACTTAAAAGAAACAAAGTACCTCGTCTAAATTCTTGACCTGGGGATCAAAAGTTCTTTTAAAACCAAAAGCCGGTATTTCATTGGCACCAGGGATCATACTAGGGAAAAAAACACCAGTAGTAGAAGCTTTGGCATTTTCATTAGCATTCCCGTTAACTTCATCCCGGCCTTTCTCCTGAAATTGAACAGGAAAACTTGCATTGCTGCTATCATTTTTGAACCTCTCAGGAATCTTATGGCTTACCAAACTGGTGTTCTTATGAGAACTGAGTTCTCGAAACTTCAATGAGCTGACATTTCCCTTGGGAACAGCATCAGAGGCATCATCAGGAGTTTTTCTCCATGTAGTGGCAAGCTTCAATTCAGCTGCCTTTTCTTTAGGCGTGGGTTTGTTTTTGTCGAGGTGTTCTAATATTTTTCTAACTGCCTCACTAGGAGAAGACTGATTTAGATTTTGGAATCCTGATTCAGAGCTACCTACAGCAGGCTCCTCTATCATGTACTTAGAAGCACTACTAGTTTCACCACGTTCCAGTTTCTTTTCTGTACTAGGCAAGAGACCTTTAGAAAGAGTAGGTTTTACCATTTCAGGATGAGCATCTATAGATGATTTCTGGAAAATAGATCCTCTTGGTCGAAATTCAGAAGCAAACTTATTCCTAATCCGACGAATAGGCCCCACAGACCCATAGCTTTCAACTGCATCACCCCCTTTCTCCTGAAAATTATTTTGAAAACATTATGAAGAAGAATTCATCCACATCATAGCTGCTAAAAATAGAAGTCAAATGTGACTGTAGAAGTGCAATGTCATGCATTTTCAGCCTCACTAGGACCATATAATTCAGTCATTCTTTTCAAGACTCAATTTTGAAATCTTAATTACATAATGCAGGACATCATGATAATGCCTTCTGCAGGACAAGTTATCAATGGAGCGCGACAACTGAAAATTGCTATGCTATGCTAGCATGCATTAATTGAAAAAAATTAAATGTGTACCTGCCCATAAATGGATGTATGAGCTTGCTGAAAGAGCGTAGATGATCTGTTCTGGAACCTGCTATCAGCTTGTAACTGGGCAGTAAAATCATGTAGATAATGTAATTATCAGTCCTTGCATATTACTGAAGAATAGTTCACAAAATTCAATCAACTTCATATACCTTGATGCTGGACTTGGACGCTATGGTTCTAGAATATGGGGTTCTAGGAAAATCAACATGTCCATATCTGCCTCTTTGACTCTGCGGTGTTACATAACCACGGCCATCATGTACCTCGGCACCAGGCCAACAAATGGATGGTTTAGGCGAAGGGGGTGGCACGAATGGCTTTATTGCAAATTCATCACTCACTTGTTGAGCTCTTTTGCTTTTTAGCATTAAACTATAGGGGTCATGGCCTCGTTCTGAGGTACGACTACCCATATATGCCTGAGCAATATCAACTGGGGAGGCACCAATAGCATCTTTAACCTGTAAAATATTGTGAAATAAAGATAAAGTCCTCCATGCATTATATTCGTAACATGTTCTTCAAAAAGAAAAATTTTAGTTAATTTTTACAGATGTTAGAAAGTATACAATAGTGACAACAGCTGCAGAACTAATCAGTGGGTTAGGAGATATGAATTGCACTCACGTCTGTTTTTTGGAGAGAAGTTCCAATATGTCTCTCTCTCTCTTCCTGTTTTCCCTCAAGTGGTGTTCTTGGGATTTTTTGCGTCCGTGTAACCTGTCCAGTATCATGAAGATATAATTTGTGCCAAGAAGATAAAGTCTTCCATGCACTAGATTCTAATGCATTTTCTCCAAAAGAATATTTAGATAAATGTTTGAGCTACACAAAGTATACAATATACATCAGTTGATATTAGCCACAGAAGCAAATATGCGAGCAACCAATCGAATCAGGAACACCATAGTACACTCACATCTGATTTTTGAATAGGAGTTCCAATGATAGGTCTGTTTGTGTCTTGCTGTTTTTCTTCAACTGGTGTTCTAGGAATTTCTTGTGTCAACATAACCAGTTCAGCATCTCCTCCACTAGGATTCTTCTTTTCCCCCTCCATGTCCGCCCTAGAATTCAATATTTCCAGCAAATGGTTGATTTCCTCTCTGCATAGCACAGCAGGACGAGCATTATGATAGAAGCTTGAAGAATGCTTGACATATTAAGATAAGACTGACAGAATTACAATTGTTCTGTGAACATATACAAGTGGCTTAAGGAAAAAAGGAAAGATGCTTCCTTTATACATGGTGATGCAACCATTTCTCCCAAAAGCTATATCTAGAAGGAGAGGCGCATTCAAGGCCTTTATCACCCACGATCAGGCTTGAGTATCCACCCCAAGCACTATTTATATGAAACTTATTTCATGAATCCCTTGTGGGATAGGTGATGCTTCGCATCATTCTATTGAACACGAGACTTCCAGTATCAACTGATGTAGGGTGGGTGACGCAACCAAACCATTTCTCCCAAAAGCTATAAGCATATAGAGAATAGAAGAGGTGCCATCAAACCCTTTATCAACCACGACCAGGCCCGGAAATCTTTCCCAAGCACTATTCATGTGGACCTTACTATGGTAATCCCTTACGAGATAGGCCCAACCTCATGTTCAGATGACGCTCTGCATCATTCTTGACGCCTTAATATATCCGTCATGCATATCTCTGACAAGGGAAAAAATAGTTTCCAGCTTTGAATGACCATGTGTAGCAACTGAATCCATTCTTTCGTACAAATTCCAATTACATAAGGTTATATCTACTAGGGGATGATATAAGTAAAAATAAATAAGAACAAAAGTCAAAAAACTAAAAGCCTACCTGGAAAATGTTTTTCCTTTCAACAGCTGTTCGAATCTCGAAAAGTCAGTACCATCACTAGAATTTTTTACTTTGTCTTGTACAAACTCATTGTGATCAAAAACTTGGTTCAATCCATCAGCAACTTCACTTGGACCACCTATTTCGGCAGATCTGAATTGTAGAGACTGCATAAACATGATTTTTAGCTTATTTTCAACATGTTATTACCAATACAAACAATTTTTAACAGAAGGGAGTACATAATAATATACTGAATCAACGCAAAGAGCTTCAATAAAACCAAAAGTATTAATGAAACAAGTAAATCTTTTACTCTTGAAAGTAAATCAGACAGTTGTATTGATATTTAATACAATGAAATAACAGTAAATTCTATAGATCAAAAATATTTTTTCTTTCTTGTGCTCTGATAACAAAAACTTATTGATGCTATATAAAAGGAAAAGCAACCAGTGTATAAAAATGGCAGGTATCGTCCAAAAGTTTCCAAATTCAATCATTAGTGAACTCATCACTGATCAGCTATCCCAGAAACTCAGCTCGGACACCTAACATTGATAAACATTTTTCAAATACTTGGACACCACACACCTTGGTAAAATTTGAGTGAATCGCCACATCCAAGACAACAGTTTATACAAGATCAAGCAAACTTAACACATCATATCTACAAATTTGTTTACATTTTATTTTCCCTTTTTTCACCAAATCTTAACATTTGAAAACTAGATATATAAATAAAAACAAAATAAAGAAAATATATCCTGGATAAACAATTCCGTTTTCCCTGTTGAATAACTACTTGTGAATTTCTAATTCATAGAAGGAAAAAATATTATATTGAACAGATTGCAACAAAACAACGTATATTAATTGTACCAATTGCTTAGTTTTCTGAACTTATTCAAATGGAAGTTTCATTGGGTGTTTTAGATTTTCATTTGAAAAAAAAAAAAAAGTAATCTAAATTTTATTCAAGGAATGTCATTCCTGGAATGCCTTCTATTCTTCAGCTGCATCAGAATTTTGTGAACTAAAAGTTGGACAAAATGAACTATTGAATGTCACTTGATGATATACGAAAGGTAAGAAACCAGATTTATGATTGGGTATTCAGTAATTTAAAATTAAATAATCTAAGAGCGTCTCCAAGAACTCTTTATTTGCATCTTGGTCATAACACAGAGCATCTTTAAATTTAAAAAATAACGTGTTTTATAAACTCCAACGAACTCTTTATTTTCTTTTTCCATTCATTATTTTACCATCATTTTTCAATTAATATATATTGTTTAGATGTCAATAGCTGAAATATTTGATATAATATGAATAGTTTATTTAGTGGAGCATTGAAATTTGATAGTTTTATTAAATGTAATCATGATAAATTACTAATAGAGAGTAAGTTTGGCACTCCAAATATAGAGAGACAAACTCACTCTCTATTTCAAAAGTAAAAACAAAGAGTCTTTTGAGCCTAATTTTAAGATTTGACATTTCAAAATAAAGAGCATCTCACTTTTACGGAGTTTCTTGAAGATGCTCTTACACCTAGTCTTATTTCAAAGAAGCGTAGAATAGAGCACCATAGTTTGGCTTTACATGTTTCCTACAACAAAATGGTCTTACATTATCTAATTATGTTGGGGAATCCCTTCCAAAAGATTCAAAAATGGAACAAAATGAGAAGCCGAGAGTTGTGTTCTAAAAGTAACAGGGGTTTCTTCAAAACTTCCCAGTCATAATTATGTCAAATTTATAGACTAATGATTGTTACCTTATCACATAGGCACGTATAGGGATGGTAACGAGGCGAGTATAGGACGGGTTGGCCATTCCCACCCCCATCCCGTCGGATTTTTTTGTTACCTTACCCCATCCACATACCAGCTTAAAGCGGGACGGGGCGGGTTCGGATCGGGAGCGGGGCAAGTTTTATGCCCCATTTATCGCCCCATTTATTTTTTACTTTTAACTTTTTTATATCTTTAGTTAGTAAATATTATTGCTTTTTTATCAATTTATTAAAAATAACTTATGTTCTCTTAAAAAATAATGATAAATCTATTATTTTTGTTTGATAAAAAACTTAAATTTAAAATTAACTTTAAACGGGGAGGGTAGCGAGGCGGGGATTATGTTTCCCGTACCCGTCCCATACCCTCTTCGGGGCAATGAATCTCGTCCCGTCCCCGCCCTATTTACCTGGTTAGGAGGGTAATCCCTGCCCCATTCGGGGCAGGACCCCACGGGTATCGAGTTAAACGAGTTTTTTTGCCATCCCTAGGCACGCATTTAATCAAGCATAAAAAATCTAAAAAACACTTCACACTTACACTTGAACTGCCTTTGACACTATCTTCAGCATTTGCTGGCAGTTCAGCATCCAGTCTATCTGCACAGGTAAAAAGATACAAGTCTTAACAGATAAAAAGACAAGGAGAGCAGAGAATATTGTAAAATATTTTATTGAAGAGCATAAACATAAATGAATTGTGAAATGATCCATAAAAACTGAAAGAAAATCAGCCGAAACTGCACAAAAAGAAGGCCTCTAGTATATCACTTATCATCATCGAGAAGTAATTGTAGTCCATTCTATCCAAAATGTTAATACTATCTTGAATTCTATTAATTCAAAATAGTCTTGTATAATAAAATCAATGCAGGTAGAAACTAGAAAATAGTACATTTGCTTCAGTGTTGCATTTTCTTGCTCTCACCAATTTCAATTTTAACTGTTCAGAATTTCAGTTTTAAGTTCGCAAGATACTCTCATATTTTCCATGTATTACAGCGTGATGTCACCACAGATATTATATTAGTTTCTCTGTGTACAGGGTAAAAAAAAGGTTCCAGAGCGTGATGCAAGTGCAATTGTTCAAAGTAAGAGATATAACTAGTTATCATAAACAGCCTTTGGATCCCCTACTTCCCCATAATCTGTTCCAAGCCAAACCTTCAATCTTCATCCACAAAGAAATTCAGCCTGGCCACTTATGCTCTCTACTAACATATTATATGAATGTATATTGCACAAGAGAAACACGTCTTGCGACGACCAATGTAGAGAACAAAATTCCTGTTCTGTAGCTTTTTTAAATGCGAATTTCACTAATTTTCATGTTGTCAAATTATTTTAACTAGGAAACACTGATCCAAATAATTGAATATTCTAGATTCTATATCTCCCCAATGACAAGCTTGTCTACTGAATTCCTAGTTCAATAAACCACAGTATCATTAATGCAGGTAAAATGAGACCAGCAGTCTACGAAGTAAATCGATTAAGGCTCTCAGAAATGTATCCAAAGCCAGGTAATAAAAACTTAAAAGGTAAAATAAAACTGAAATCAGATAAATAGGTAAAAATCTTGTACAAGGGGGTAACACTATAACTTCAGTTGTTCTAACAATAAAAAAATTAGGTCTTGATCCAATATAATGCACCATTATCCATTTTCTTCCCTAAAGTACGCTAAATACCCAATTTATTGTTAACTCATCCATGATAAACCCACCAAAGCCTAAATGGAATTTACTGGCGGCGTCTGAAAGGATTTGCCTGAACTATAGAAACACTAATTCACTTTTTTTTTAATTTCTCCTAGCACCCCATGAAATACAAAGCATATTCAAAAATATGCTTTCCAGCCTCCTGTAATGTGGACCTTTAAAACCATAATTCGCTAAAGAGATCACTATAAAAATTTGTAATTATTCACCCTTCTCCATTGTAATTATTTCCCAAACTCTAGTGTATTGAGATGCTATCGCTATAATATCAATATACACACACAAATAAACAGATGAAAAATCAAAAATTAATGTCAGATTACCAGTAACGTGACTAACCATTGTTCCCCGCCAAAGGAAGAGCGGGAGAGGAGGCCGACTTGGAGAAGAATGAAGGGAAGATCTTGGTGGCGCCACCAGTTATAAGACGACAGGCAGGAACGACAATCTTCGACAACCAGCCACGGCCATTTTGATTATTGGTCGGGGGCGGACGGGCATAAGGCATCGCTGGTGGCTTCCTCCCCGACGGTTTCCGAAACTTTCCGCCGGCGCCTCTTCCTTCGCACCCGTGGTCAGCGGCGTACAATGACACCGTCGTTTTTGTGTCTTCCATTACTCCCGTTTGGTGAGGAAAGGAATTGTTCTTTTCAATAATTATTACTAGTGTAACGCTTTCCAGCGGTTGGATTTCGACCAGAGAGTAATCAAAAATTCAAAATTTAAGAACCCTAAATTGTTGGGGCCTGCGGGTGTCAATCTCTTTGTTCAATTTACAAAACTGCAAATCCACGTGAGGATTTGAGCGACTGAATTGATTTTCTCCCAAGCCTGCGGATTCGGATTTGAGAAGAATAGTGCGCAGACACCGGAGGTCCTGTTGTTCCACAAGTCAAAGAAAGTAGTCAAAAGGTACTGCTGCTGGCAGCGACTTCAAATAGGCATGAATGTACATGCAAGTTTGGCTAAAATCCTTACCTATAAATAAATCTAGACAATTGTAAAGTGTTACGGGATAGGGGTGGTAATTGGGTCGAGTGATTTATGTACGTGACCGTTCAACTTGTTCGAACTTGAATAGTAGGTCGCTCGTAGGGATCGATGACATTTTTAAGAAAATATATCAGCCCAATAAAAATAAAAATAAACCAACTCCGCCCCTAGTCACTTGGACTTGTCTAGAGACAAGTTGGGGCCGAGTCGAGCCCAAAAAATTGGTGAGCCGAACTTAGCTCTCGAGCGGCTAGTGGACTTGGTCCATGAGCCTCGGTGGTTTTCAATACATCATTTTTTTAATATTTTTATTTCAATTTCATAATTTATTCAAATTGCAAGTGAATCATAGTAATTATTTGGAGACTAATGAAGAAATGTCTGATGTTAGCTCCAACATGTTCGCCATTCAATCACATTTTAAGAGTTTGTTGACATTCCAAATCTCGTACATGGAAGCAATGATACAATTAACTTGGATGACATTGAAGAAAAAGAAGAAGAAATGCATATAGTAGGCTTAACAGTAAACGAGGAACCAAGAAACAGAGTGCTAAGTGTTGGAAACACTTCAAAATGGTGCTCACAAGTCATGGAGATGGAAAGCTAGATTACAAAGTAGTACATTAAAACCTCTATAAAATAATAATGTTTGGACTAAGAAAAATTATTATTTTAGAGAGGTTATTAATTTATCGATAAATGAATAATTTATTAATTTATCGATAAATAAATATTTAAAATTTATTATATATTTTTATATCTTGTATTATATTTTACCATAATACACGTAGGAAAAAAATTGAATATGGTGAAATTCAAGATTTAATATGTAAACATACAAAAAGACACACATACACACATACATACATACATACATACATACATTAAAAATGAAATATTAATGTTCATGCATTGACTTCAAAACTTAGCCCCTGTTTGACTTTTTTTTAAACAAAACAATTTATTTCTCATACTCATTTTCAATCACGCATTCACACATTAAAATAAAGAGCATAGCTACGGGTACAAATTTAATCCGCAGAAATGTTACAGGATTTTAAAATGAAATGACGTGGAAAAGTTTAAAAAAATGAAATGAAAAAGACGTCCAACAAAACGTAAAACCGGGAAAGACAAGGGAATGGAAAATCCTGTACACACCATTTCCCCCAAATTTCCCATCAATTCCACCGACTCAAAACCCATCCATCTCTGGCCAAAATCCGGTGACCCGAATGGCGAGCAACTCCAAAATCCGATGAAAATGAAAGCCGACTGCATTGTTCCCAACAACGAAGCCATTTTTATTAACCATTTCTGTGGATTAAATCTCACCCTAAATGGCAGACAAAGGTAATTTCTTTCTTGGGTTCTAAATTGGTTAGCTAATTCTGGAAGCCATAGATATGTTTTCAACTGGAGCTTTAATTCATTGGTTTCAACTGAAAGTTTCTTCAAACATAGCTATTGTGTTCGGCCAGCTGAGTTTCATAAATGTGATTGTGCGTATATATATTGTGTTCGGCCAAGACAAGCACTTAGACTAAGTCGTAGGGGAATGATTGGTAATTTATAATCTTTGAAAATATTGGGATTGGAGCAAGCATTTAAACAAAGCTATGTTTAGTGTTTTTTTTTTCGTCTTTCAAGATTTGTAATCTTTGGGAAGATTACTTTGATATGGTATATCAAAGCTTTAAAATAGCGTAATTCATTTCCTTCGGTTCATTGCTGTTTTATTTCACTTAAACATTGCACAAATTATTGAGGACAAATTTCAGTTGAGTACTTTATTCATCACTTGCATTTAGCCATTGTTGAATTTCAGTTTATAAAATGTTTGTTAATTAAGATTGAGTCACTTTGTTTTTTCAACAGATATCGATTAGAATGAGAGGAAGAAATTTTGGAGTCTGTCACAGTTGCAGAAGCATCACGCACTACTTTGGACAATGCAAATCAAACTGCCGATGCCCTAGTTATGACCTCGAATATCGAAAATGTTTTAAGGTCGAATGGGATACCGGTAACAAAGGGCGATTGTTCTTCACCTGTAGTAATAACTGTGGGTATTTCGATTGGATGAAAAATGAATATTTAGGCGGGGAATCAAGTTCAGTTAATGACACCTTGAATCGTGTGCCTAACGAGGAAAACGAAGAATTGCCAAGACTATTTGATGGGCTAGATCGTATTAGCGAGAAATGATATATCCAAACTTTTATGAACGTGGTATCCAAACTTTTTTGGCAACTTTTCATAATGTGCCATAAACACCATCTATACTTTGTGTTTTGAAACACAATTTCAATTGCATTTTGCATTGCTCTGTCTTGATTAGCAATGATTCCATTAGGAGCTTCACCATGCAAAAGTCCCCATGTTCTCATTTGATAACAATCCACAGCCTAGCAGTGTAGATTGTCCATGATAATTCACTCCAACAAAAGAGCGAAGGGCATGTCGTACTTGTTAGTGAGATACGTAGTATCAAAAGTGACAACATCGCCGAACTCCTTGTAAGATTGCCTATATCTGTTATCTGCCCAAAAAACATTCCTTAACCGTGAATCATCGTCTAAGTCCATACTAAAATAAAATCCCGAGCACCGTGTTTGCATCCTTGAAAAGTACGCATGTATTGCGATGGCATCTCCTTCTCCAAGGCATAATTGTCTCACTTGTTCGATGTAGTTCCAACAATCTTTTTTCACAAAAGTCGTATTCTCATATCCGCATGCTTCGACGACTGTGGAGTTGTAACTTTTGTGTGAGGGGATTCCTGTCATATCATTCACTTCAAGCTTTCATCTCACAGTCGCACTCAATTTCCGGTTGCATTGATACAACCTAGACTTGGAAGGACTTGTTTTATGATTGTGGTCTAGGTACACCTTATTAATTCTCCATCTTCCAAGACAATCTAAAGATGTAGATATTCTTGCTTTACAATTTGTCTGACGTGTTGGTTACGGCTTTAAGGAGCCGTATGTAGCAAATGTTCTTCGACCTTCACGACCACATGTGAACATCACATACCTCATAACTCCATCGCCCCCTTTTTTCAAATTTCTTTTTCTCACTAGGAAACCTACGTCATAAGCATATCTTTTGTAGAAGTCCAACATTTCGTTCTCATCAGTAAACATCATTCCAACCTCAGGCACAGTCGCGTCATCTCTTCCTACATTTTCATTGTCCAATATGTTCAAATTGTTCACAGCGTTCTCGTTATCACAATCCAGCAACAATTCATGATTCTCATATTCTATAATTTCTTTTCCTGAATAGAATAAAAAAGAACGATACATAAATGATAAGTATGTGAATAAAAAGTTATTTTACTATTTATAAAAAGTGAAAACAAAGTGACTCAATCTTAATTAACAAACATTTTATAAACTGAAATTTAACAATGGCTAAATGCAAGTGATGAATAAAGTACTCAACTGAAATTTGTCCTCAATAATTTGTGCAATGTTTAAGTGAAATAAAACAACAATGAACCTAAGGAAATGAATTGCGCTATTTTAAAGCTTTGATATACCATATCAAAGTAATCTTCCCAAAGATTACAACACTTGAAAGACAAAAAACTAAACATAGCTTTGTATAAATGCTTGCTCCAGTCCCAGTATCTTCAAAGATTATAAATTACCAATCATTCCCCTACGACTTAGTCTAAATGCTTGTCTTGGCTGAACACAATATATATTACGCACAATCGCATTTATGAAACTCAGCTGGCCGAACACAATAGCTATGTTTGAAGAAACTTTCAGTCAAAACCAATGAATGAAAGCTCCAGTTGAAAACATAGTTATGGCTTCCGGAATTAGCTAACCAATTTAGAACCCAAGAAAGAAACTACCTTTTTCTACCATTTAGGGTCTGATTTAATCCACAGAAATGGTTGATAAAAATAGCTTCGTTGTTTGGAACAACACGGTCGGCTTTCCTTTTCATCGGATTTTGGAGTTGCTTGCTGTTCGGTTCACTGGATTTTGGCCGAAGATGGATGCTTTGAGTGGGAGGAATTAAGGGAAAATTTGGGGGAAATGGTGTGTACAGGATTTGCATTTCCCTTGCCTTTCCCGATTTTACATTTTGTTGGACGTCTTTCTCATTTTATTTTTTTTAACTTTGCCATGTCATTTCATTTTAAAATCCTGTAACATTTCTGTGGATTAAATCTATACCCATAGTTTTACTCTAAAATAAATTGCACGTAAACTCGAAACGTTTCCTACTTTTTAACCACACATCTTTCAAAAAAAAAAAAGTAGAAAGAGAGAAGATGCATATTTTGAAAAAATAGCAAATTGAAAAAAATATTGTCAAATTAAAAGTTTGTTAATTCTTATTATATGAAATTTTTTGAATTTTTCGTAGTTTTAGTTTGACAATAGAACAATTAGTAAAGTAGTAATTGAGAAATTAACTTGGAT